ACGTTTTTCTCATTAATGTTAATATGGTGTGTCGTTGATACCACTTTCCAAGATTCGTTGTTTGTTGATGCATCTCTTACTAATTACCAAATGACAGTTTGTTCTTATAACTGAAAAAGACAATTTTAGGCTTTTAGAGTTCCCGATGAAAGTAAATTCAAGTATGACCTAGCTTCGGACGCACACATTTTAAAAATGCTATTTTCATTATGAAATATGTAAATAAAATTGAAACCTTCATCCGAAATATGTTGAAAATAGCTATATGGTCGGTAGATTAGCATAAAGCAACAATAAAGGTATCCAGACTAGAGAAATAATTCAAGTTTCGATTTTTGTTATGCTTATGACAATAATGACATGATTAATGATATGAAGAAACTAGAGGCTCCAAAGAGCCGGAGCCGCTCACCTGGGTTTATGTGCTTATTCAACAAAGGACACCCTCCAACATTGTAGACGAGAATAGAATTCATGACAAAATCTCTGTTTTGTTGATCTTGTATTGCTGACCATTTAGTCAGTTTAGTTTCTCTCTATCTTCTTTAGTTTTTGCTCAAAACACAAAAGAGGGTAAACAAAATCGTCATTTAAGGGCAATCATTTCTATAAAGAGTGACAGTCTACTTACTATATCAGCAAAATTTGACTTGTTAGTAGATCTTGCCTTGCTGATCATTTGTGTGAATTAAAGTGTCTATTTATCTATCACAATTTTTATCATATTAGGCAAAATGCAAACAAAATGGTAAAAATCGTCATTAAAGGGCAATAACTCAAATAAGGAGTCGTCACATGATTTCCTCCTTATTTCTTAATTGTAGGTCTTGTATTGCTGATCAATTTTGCTTATTTCAGTTTCTATCTATCTATTATAGTTTTTAAGATATAAGGCAAATACGCAAAAGATTGGTAAAATTGTCATCAATTTGAAAGGTCAATGACTCTAATAAGGAGTCGACTGACGATTTCGACCATGCCGACTTATTTGTAGAACTTGTCTTGTTGGTCATTTATGAAAATTAAAGTTTCTTTCTATCTATTATAGTTTTCAAGATAATAGGCAAAATTGGAAAAAAAAGTATTTTAAGGGCAATAACTCCTACAAGAAGTCGTCTGACAGTTTTGACGTAAACGGACAATTGGTAGAGCTCAACATTCTGAACATTTTTGCATTGTCATATTTTTCCTATTTATAACGGTTTTCAAAATAATAGACAAAACTTGCATTTTACCCTATGTTCTATGGCCAAGTCGGCCACCTTTGTTGACAGGCGGGGTCATCGGACACATTTTTAAAACTAGATACCCCAATGATGATTATGGACATGTTTGGTTAAAGGAGTAGGTCCGGTAAGGGCCGATTTTGGCCTCAAATTTCAAGTTCATCTTACGAAAGATTTTAGACACTTTTTAAATACTTAAGTGTCTATTTCAATTGATTCGATTAGTTTATGTGAAAGATTTTAACTGATTTAGTCATTAAAAAACGCGCCGATTCAAGCTTAAATATGAAAAATCTATCAAATATGCCAAAAAACGTCACTTTTCAGATGGTTTTTGTCAAAAATGAAAGTGGCCGCATCCGTGTTCATCCTCAACCTTTATATATATTATGTATTATCATCAAATGCAACTTACATTTCAATATTATGAATGAACACGAATGCGGCCACTTTCATTTCAGACGAAAACCGTCTAAAATTTAACTAAAATGCTAAAATTTTGAAGATTTCAGTAATTTAGCATGACTTAATGATGTTAGTACCCTATATATATGCATTGTATTGTCAAAAACAGCCCATATTTATGTAGCAGAAGCATTCTTCTTTACAATAAATAGCTTAAAGATTACATTTTCACAATTTTGTAAAACTGCTATATTTTGGGGCCAAAAAGGGGTCTTACTGAACCTACTCCTTTGGTCCAGTAGTTTCAGATGAGAAGATTTTTGTAAAAGTTAACGGACGACGACGAACGATGGACGCCAAGTGATGACTAAAGCTCACTAGGCCCTCTGGGCAAGATGAGCTAAAAGGGGTACAACTATTACCTATTCCAGTCAAAATACTCCATGTTCAAAAATTCCTTTACCATAATAACAAACAGACGGTTTTGCAAAATGAACCATTATCCCCACGGTTTATTTAAAACCATCTTATATATAGTGAAGTCTCTAAGACTTATAAGTGCTGTTATTTATACATATCATTTGACAGTAACCATATACAACAACATAACAAAATCTAGAAACGGAAAACGTCATACTTAAATAATATTTCCAATCTTCTAGTATGAAATAATTTCAAATCTTTTTAAAAGAAAAAGTATTACCAAATTCTCAAAGACAAGAATAAGCATCCAGTAAAATGTTTTAATTCAATTTCAGATACATTTATATTGTAATTACTCACATAATTACACCTTATGTAAGAATCCTGGGTTTTGATTGGTTGATAGCCAGTGTATTTTTCACCAATTTACTTTTATCAAATGAATATCGTTCATTTTTAAACAGCGCCGGGGTATATGCAAAAAGGATATGCCTTTTTTACCCTCTCTGCCGTGGTATTTGCCAAAAAATACTCTATCCGACTGGACGCTTGTAATGTCACGATCATCATTGCGTTTTATGTCACGATCATCAATGCGTTTTGTATGTTAACATTCGGTGTAATTAAACAGATATAGCATGTTCTTGAGGGGTATTTGCGAAAAATACCAGTCTTGAGATTGAATTTCCCTCGCCTTACGGCTCGCGAAATTTAACATTCTCTCGACTTAACATGATATATCTGTTCAACAATCCGTTTTTTTTAAGGAATATTATCCTCTGTAATATTCCTGTGAAATTGAAACTAAGGATAATATATAAATCTGATCTGTTTGATCAGTTTTTTTTATCTGACTTTTTTTTCACGCATTTCAGCTGATAAGACACATAAGATACTAGTTTATGTATCCCTAAGCTTAAGCACAAGCTTGTTCACACTACGTTGATTGGTTTACTATTACACTCATTAATTTAACGCTAAAGATTGTCGGTCTTTCATTGGTTTTTAGTTACAGTGTCTCAATTTCTCAACTTTATAATACCATTTGAACAGTGTTATAGACTCCGTGTGTCCATTACTGTCAATCGGACATAATAAATATTGATAGCTTCTACATCATTTGGTCTTTGGTGGAGAGTAGTCTGATTGACAATCATACCATGGTTGTGTTAATATGTTTTTGGCTCCGGATATTCATGCAATCTGGGTGATTCTTTTAGTTTTAGTTTTTTTTTAATGATGATTGAACATTGATAAATTACTGTTGACTAAATTTAACACTTACATGTACTAATTTGATGAGACTTGGGATATATCAACTCACCATCTATATCTAAATGTGATGATGTGTATTTACAATTATAAGTTTTTTTTTTCGAATTTTTGAACTAATAGCATACCAATGATATATAAATTGTTAGTTGTACTATACAATGTGTAAAATATCTTACATCAGGCAGATCACAACTAGTCCAATCAACAACATTCCTACTGACAAGGTTATAGCAGTAACATTCCATGCAATTCCTCCTTCAAATACAGCGTATAACAAATGATACAAGGTTTGTATAAAATAGTGTCTATCAATAGTCAAAGTATTTGCTCAATAAAAATTTATTAGAAACGTGTTTTTGAATATAAAAGTTTTCCAATTTCGATTCGCAAATTATTATATATAATGTTTATTTTTTAGTTACTATATAATAACTTTTATTAAATGCGCTATAAATTCAAATAATCAAAATTTTCATAAGTTCTAAATTTAAAATGAACTATATTTTCTTGCTTGTTCTTTGATTGAATGCATAAATTAAATATTTTAAAGAGAAGTTAAATAATCAAACAAATGATACGGAGCGTACTTTATGAATAGATATAAGAAGATGTGGTATGAGTGCCAATGAGACAACTCTCCATCCAAGTCACAATTTGTAAAAGTAAACCATTATAGGTCAAAGTACGGCCTTCAACACGTAGCCTTAGCTCACACCGAACAGCAAGCTATTTTAGAAACACGTTTTGTACAGGCATACGTGATAAAAAAAATGATTCAATACTGCTGCAATTTGCTGAACCACCCTTTAATAGTTTTGGTGTAGGCGGCATATTGTGAATAGGTACTGCTTAATTCATTTATCACTTTCCTAAAACCCGGTGTATTATGGAGCTTTACATATACACAAATATAAAAATGTTGAGATGTGGTAATATGATTGCCAATGAGAGACAACTATCCACAAGAGTTAAAATAAAGTGCATGGTAGTAAGCAATTATAGGTCACCGTACGACCTTCTATAATGAGAAAAACCTATACCAATTCAAACGAGAAGATTAACAGCCTAATTTATTACGTAACAATTTACGAAAAACAAATATCACAGACATGAACCACCGACAACTACTGTAATGAAGGCTCCTGACTTGGGACAAGCACACACAGAATGTGACATGATTAAACATGTTTGTGAGCGCTCAGTCCTCCCATTTCTTTGGACAGTGGTGTAACAGCACAACCTAAGAACAAACCGTTGCTGCAATTGGCTTGACTCAAAAGATCGGTACGAGGAATAAAAAACAATAGACACAAAGCACCGAAATAAGAGTACAGTTACTGAAAGCTAGTTCAACGCTAATTACAGATAATAAACAAGTCATGTTCTCCCAGATTAAAGTATCCATCAGTACATAACCAGTAAGTGTCTATTTTTGTTTCTATTGTTTTTGGGTTTTTTTTTCAAATGTCTTTTGAGTTTATGTATCGTTGGGCTTATTGAGGTTTTTACATGTACAACATCTCATTTGATGCACAATAATTGTGTAATGAGTTCAGTGCATTATCTAACAAAAGCTGACATGATTTGACTTTTCAACAAATAAAAAAAAACTTTCACTTCTAGTAAGAAGAAAATCTTAGATCAAAATTAGCTTTGTTATCTAGAACTTACCGTCGAAAGAGTTGACTCCAGACTGATTTGTTTTCAACGGTGCTTGTGTTGTAACGTCAGTACTATTTTGAAATGTTATCGGTGCTTTTGTTGTATGGTCATCACTATTTCGAAATGTTATTTTAGAAATAACTGTGCCATAACTTTCACCTAAAAAGGTCGCACATTTTTTTTAATTATACGATATTCCTTACAGCGATGTTAACAAAATATCATGCACATGTCTTTATATCATTAAAATCATTGTTTGATTTGCTTAAATGAGCTAACGGATAATTGAGCATATTTTTTATTTTAGAAAAAGGTGATAAACGCATTCTTTTTTATTTTTTTAGTTTTGTTTTGAATTTTGCAACCGATTCAAATTTTTCAAAAGCTAATAACTGTGTGCACATTATTTTTCTTAGAAAGGAAAACGTTGGCTACTGTAAGATATCAAAAAGGTCCAACAATAGGATGAATGCCTTTGAAAAAAAACCCGTCTAAGATATACCAATGGGATTATATAATAATAAAAATTCGAAGACAACATAATGACCAAAAAGATAAAAAAAAAAAAAAAGACAAACAACAGTTTTCAAAACACTACATATAAAAGTAAAGATTGAGCAACACGAATCCCGCCAAAACAGGGAGTGATTCAAGGTATATCGGAAAGGTACGCTAGTGATGGTAATATTGATGCTCCCAATGGAAAGCTGAAATCTCTCTTTATGTCATAAAATTTAATTCGCAACCGACTGTCGATGCAAAAATAAGGAAATTACAAATCTGATATCACAGGACGTGGGTGTGAGCACCTTTAGGTCACCGTACAGCCTTCAAAAATGGAGAAAAAAAAACCATACCGTAAATTAAAATATAAAAAGACCCTACTTGACAAAATATGAAACAATTCAAAAGAGAAAACCAACGACCTAATTTATGATATAACAACAGATCAAATCAAATAAGATAGAGAGCAACCAAAGTCAACCACTGAAATACAGGCTTGTTAATCTTCGATGTAAGTCAAAATATAACGCAGACCTTATTGTATCTAGTTCGATATGGTACACGCGTTCAACATAGTGACCATACTTTAAATTATGACTTTAAATGTAATTCATGATCGTTGAAGGACTTTTTATCTTTCAAAAAAGTATTGCTGTGAAAACTTATTTTGGCAATGTATGATATACATATTGTAACGTTGAAGGGTTTTCTACTCAGCTTACATCTTGGTCTCCGGTGAAGGAAATAATAAAATAACAGAAGAATTTACTGTACTTATACTGTGTAATGTAAGTTTAATGATAGTTTCTACTATCACTTAGTGCAGGAAAATCTACGCGTGCACTGCACTCAAATACACGTCATTGTCGGTGCACGGTCAAAGAAATATCCGAGCAAACATCATGCTAGCATTTTGATATGAATACTTCAATCATCAGATCTTAAATATTATCACCATGCACTTCTACTTGGTGTTGCAACTGATAGCTTGACATATACTTCTATGGTGCTGTTTGGTGCATTTGTTCCGCTTTTTATACTTTTGTATCTCTTAATTGAGACATAATAAAAAAATATTCATAAACAAGAGCAGGATCAGGTAACGTAATATTTGGCGCGTTACAATGTTAATAAATGAATATCAATCAATACACAAAAATAAGCAGCAATTACACTCATAACTAATGTAGAAACATAGATTTATCGAAGTTATTTAATTTTAATGTTATCATGTCTAAGAAACAAAGGACATATACTTGAATCAAGTGTGGAACGAAGGCCACGATGAACAATATAAATACAACCATTTAATTTACAAAAGTTAAAACCACAGTAATTATGTAAACTGCCAAATCACTGGGCCGTATAAGTATATTGCTCCACGTACACTTCCTTTTTCACATTTTGTATGAGAGAAAGGAAACACTAGTTACAAATTGCATTTGTGCACAATTGTATTTTCCGAGAATATTTTAGAGTAGCCTCCATACGGTAGAGGTTTGTCTAATCATTTAAAGCCGTCCAGTCGCATGTTGATGTTCACATTTTCGTCGTTTGTCTTATGGTAGAAAATTCTAGTATTGCCACTCTTAACATTTCTTTTTCTTTTAAAGCATATCGAATGTTTTTAATGCAAACGTATAGTAACAGGACATACCTTTTAAAATAATGTTGGCGTTAAACTTTTACATAGGATACTTCTAGACTAAGTGTCTGTGATATTGATTTCCTATTCCACTCCCTTAAATTGCTTCATGAACATTTTTTTAAGATTAATGTATTTTGTGAATGATAAACATTAATACAAGGAAAGCTAAGTCTTTCTTGATATGGTGTTCAATGTATTCGAATGTCCTTTTTCGGATTATAAGACAAATACCTTCTGAACATATAAATGGATATTTTTGTCCACAATCAGTTTTGGTCAGCTGTTCATAATTTTCCGTTCTATTTGGATATTTGGTATACAGCATACAGTGCAATACAAAACTGTCAGTAGCTAAGAAGTAAATGCATAAAGTGTTACTATAATATACTATATAAAAATAAGGAGATGTGGTATGATTGCCAATGAGACAACTATCCACCGAAGTTCAAATAAAGTGGATGTAAGCAATTATAGGAAACCGTACGGCCTTCAACAATGAGAAAAACCCATACCGTATAGTCGGCTATAAAATGCCCCGTCATGAAACCATACATTTAACAAGACCAAAATATGTTCCTATGTTTGAAACATGCAAAAGTTTATCTTCTGGAATCGTTATAAGTATCAACATTTCGTGTTTATTTACCGACATGACTCACGAAAAGTGTCGATTAACATGTGATCCCCATTATAGTTATAAATGTTACCAGATAGGCAAACCGTATAAGATCGATTTTCTTAGCTCTGTCAGATCTCATTTCGTCGATAAAACATATATATTAAATGTAAACACAGTAGCAATGATGGGGTCAATTGTGACTAAATGTCACTTTTCATATAAATGAATGTTCACACTAAACTCGTAAACTACTTTTAAATATTATTAAAAGGGAGTTAGAATATCTATGTCAGTTCATATATCGTACATTCTTGTATAAACATATTAACAAGGCAGTTACATTTGTTAGAATCACATAAATGCAATAGGGTTGAAACCAAGTAAGGCGATTTACCAGCATATCCTTTTATGCATTGTTTAACTTATATGATAATGAAAATAACACTTACTGCTGGAGGTTTAGTTAGCTATATAAATATGTGTAACCCAACATTTCCCAAGTTAGGAATATGACAGTTGTGTTCCGTTCGTTCCGTTGGCTAATATAGTCGAGCGTTTTACGGACTTCCCCCTTTTTTTAATTTACCTTGGAGTTAGATATTTTTGTCAATACTTTTTTACTAAATTGTATGCGTCCGGAGCGTTTTTCTGGATTTTTCTTCATATTGTATGTAATTGCGATGTCATTTCTCAACACAGTAGACAGTAACAAATCGAGAATACTGACAAAGCCAGTGTTTGTGCCAAATGGAAAAAAGTAGACACACATGTCAGCTATGGAAGAACAAACATTGTTCTTGTAATTTAAGATTACACTGGGATTTACATCTAATTCGCTTTGGTGATCGCAATATTTTTGAAATGACGATTTAAGTCTTTCTTCCTCATAAAACTGCAAGAGTTCACCTTTATAACCATCACGAACACATATGGTAAAATATTTTATCAACTGAAATTGGTGACGATTGACGACCATTATAATGATAATCGTTTATCAAATTTAACACCACGGATAATATTTGTAAGTCAACAGAAAAAGAATAGATCTGATACTCTTAATACTAACTACGCCAACAATTAAAATTTTAACTTTAAACGTACCAATATTCGTAGAATTTATCCAGTACTTTGTATTGACTTCCATTTCTTTGATTGCACGACTAAGTGTCAACATATTGATTACGTCAACGGGAATACCTGTTCTGCATGTTCCTTCAAAGGTATTGTTAGATCCAATTTGAAAATGTGTTTGAATTCCGGTGGCTGAGTAATCTGTTAAAAAAAACATACGTCCATGAATAAATCTGTGCATTCTCAATTCTGATGTGTATTTCTGTTAGCATAGTTGTATGTTTGCTATGAGCATGTGACAATGAATACAATTAGTGTGTATTTAAGGTTCTTTCTCGTAGATGTGTGAAATTGTAATGGACGTCAAGTAATGTTCGCAGAATAATAAAAAAATTGAATGTAATAATATTTTCGCACAGGTTTTTAAATAATTATTGTTATTTTCCATATTCACTCGATTTGCCCGGTCTCCATGCTTTATGTTTTGTACAGATAGACAAACGGTCATCGGTATACAGTACGTCCGCCTTTTGCGGGAGTATAAAAAGAGAATATATGTCTAGGCTGTGGACAACCTTGCCATGAAGTCATATATCGGGAATTTTTATTGATGATTATAATGAGTACCTTATGTTTGTGTCTTCTTTTGAAAACTTCTCAGAGATACCGGGCTTAATATTTGAAAGGCCAGACGCGTGTTTCGTCTACATAAGAGTCATCAGTGGCGCTTGAATTAAAACAGTATGAAGGCCAAATCAAATACGAAGTTGAATAACATTGAAAACAAAAATTCCGAACAGTTGTACCAAATACGTCTATGCATAGGGGTAAACCTGATTGTTTCAAATAATTCATCATTTTATAACCAGTCAATTTACAGACAATTATCGTATAAATGATGTTTCATGTCAACACAGAAGTTCTAACTACTAGGATGGTGATATTCTCGGGAACGAAATGTTCGACAGCAGTGGCATCGACCCAAGCGTTGTAAAAATTCATCAAATAACTCAAGAAAGATATTCCAGATCATCAGGCAAAATTTAATCATTTGTGCATTGCAAATGTGAAGGCAGCGTACGTAGCAAAAAATTGAGAATTGCATAAAAACTAATTTGAAGTGTAAGAATTAAGAAGAAAATAAAATCTTCAAGTTTGTAGACTTGCAAAAGTCACCTAAAACATATTTTGGGTTACACACTTTATTTTTATTCTACATCAACTGCATGTCCTATTTGACAATATACCAACCATTCTGACACAATCCTTCATAATGTTCGCTCTTCGGAATTTGTTCAATGTATAAACTTTCACAAGAACCTGAAATAGAGAATTTAAATGCCATTAGCAATTAAAACAGAAATTGTTCATATATTTTATATTAACAAATAACTTATAAGAAGAAAAGATTTTTGCAATGATTACAACAACAAAAAAAGAGAATGGAAACTTAAAGCATGGTCTTTATTGCACGTAATATTTTGTAGTTACAATGTTACGTTTTCGCCAAAGGTAAATATTTATCAGTTTATGAGAAATGCCAAACGCAATATGTATCTTCACAACCTTAATCTTAATGTGCTTACCTGTACTACTATTGCATCCTAAATTAAGACCATAATTTGATGTCCATACAGATCGACTAGACCTGAAGTGACTTTCCAAATTTCGTTGGACTGACTTCAAAGGGGACAAAATTTTGTTCTTTGTCTTGCATTCGCTTCTTGCTTCCTTCCATGATAAAGGTTTCTCAAAACCACCTAAATGATAAATTATAATTAATAACAATTACAGTTAGGATCAATTTTGTTAATTCTACAAGTTTTGAGTTATTCTTAAACCAAACTATTTTTTATTTGTATGTAATTTCATATCGAATACTGGTAAACTATTTAGATAACCCTATGAGCATATAATTGTCGACGCGGGACATTTGTGTTTTTTTAGATATACAACATAATATTTTAGTGTTGGTGCCGTATGATTTGTCCTCCTCACTTACCCGGGCTGGAATAAATTTATATAACCATTTTCCTACTTCATAATTTTCCTAAGAGAGCATAATGACTGAATCTTTCGCCAACATGCTTGTGTCAGATGAAAGGACAACGCTTCATCGAACAAAAATAAATTCCTAATAACAACCATGACTCTTTCTTCAAAGTCAACATGAACTGTAAACGAAAAAAAAAAAAAACACTTTATGAATTTCGTGTGTCTGAGGCGATTTTCTGGATTAGCTATTATTCGTGTGTTTCTTTGTTCTATATGTTCTCCCATTTATTTGTATTGTAATCCTGTCATGTAATGTTGTCATTTTAATGTTATATTTATCATTGCCATAAAAGCGGGAGGTTTGGCATGCCACAAAACCAGGTTCAACCCACCATTTTTTTCTTAAAATGTCCTGTACCAAGTCAGGAAAATGGCCATTGTTATATTATAGTTCGTTTCTGTGTGTGTTACATTTTAATGTTGTGTTTTTGTTGTGTCGTTGTTCTCCTCTTATATTTGATGCGTTTCCCTCAGTTTTAGTTTGTAACCCGGATTTGTTTTTATCTCTATCGATTTATGAGTTTCGAACAGCGGTATACTACTGTTGCCTTTATTTAACCTTCATCGGGAATGCCCAAACCCAAACATTTGAAAGTCAGGGATGTACACATATGTGGAAATAGCCGTTGGTTTTAAAATTTTATCTCCACAAATTGAAGTATGATAAGATTCACAATGATGTTAGATTTCCTCGTTTCCAGGCAAGAGAATTAAGACAAGTATACGTTATCAGTAACATGTCATCAAACTAATAAATACAAACATATAAACAAAAAATCATTACGAAAATAAAAATGATTCAAATAAAAGTAAACAAAACTATTAATTCAATATTGATAGAACTTTGGTAGGTGTTTCTATATGAATTGGATTTTGAATAAAACAGCATATTCACCTGCGGAAAAAGTATATTCACCGCGCAAAACGTTGCGTGCTTTTACGTGTATAATTATAGTAAAATTGTTTGATGTACAATTGGTTTTGGTAAATAATTGTCTCTACATACATGTTCTCTTTTGGAATACGGAATAAAATCATTACAGTTTTTTGTTTCAATAAATACATGGTTTAATTGACTTTAAACTGAACCAGTTTGTCAAAAGTCAATAAAACCACATATTTACCTCATCAAAAGACAGTAATTGTATAATATTCATAAAAAGTAAACGATATCGTAGTGGATTTTGTTGGAATGATAGAGATGAAATTTGAATAATGGAATACATAATTATAGATAGATGTGCAATTAAACAAATGATTTTGGAAATTTAAAATTCACGCTTTAATTTTGCATGTGTGAAAAATAATTGGTGCCTGAAAATCAATGACCGGAGGAAAAATATCTACCATCGATTGTCTCAATTTTCAAAATTTATCATACCTGTTTTGAATTGTTTTTTTTTTTTGTTATCAAAATTAATTCTTAACAAACAAATTCTCCAAATATATCACGCGAGATGCATGCAATAACATTAAAGGTATCTGTTTTACTGCACCAGATGAAGCTTCACACAGACTAGCTAAAAATAGCATTCTTGTTATCTTATATACTATGCATCCTAAAATTGATATACAGGTTTATTGAACTAGAAATTTTGGCTCAAATTGATAAAAATATATATTTTATAAAGGAAACGAAATCATTAATGTAATGTATTCGATAGTCTTAGTCTCCGTAAACACTCCGTGTGCCAGATAAGGAGTCAGATATTCTTACCCTCCCGTGGCACCTAAAATAGAACCCACTTCTGTCAGACACTGTGAATCTAAGGTGTTGTGTTATGTTTATAACTAGGTATACCTGAAGCATATTTCGTCTTTTTAAGACTCAGCAGTAGCACTCAAATCAAGATAGCAAGAAGGCTATTAAGTAAATAACAAAGTCAAATGTATTTAAGAAATGAATAGTAAGCACTTACCTGCGATTGCTTGGAAATAGTAAAGAATTATTAGAATAAACATAAACCTAACCGAGGACATTTTTTTTTTAAATTTTTATTGATATTTAGTATTTCCAATAAACAGGACGGATACAAATTATAAAATTTATTTAATACAATAATACAATGCAATTGAGTATATCACTTCCTGGGGGAAACAATGATTCAATAAAAAAGAGAATTCCAAAAAAATAAATAGGAAAATAACACTTGATCAATTTATTGCGTCCTAATCGCTTTTCTGGATTTGCCATCATCAGGAATGGTCATACCCCAAATATTGAAAAACAATGAGGTACAAGTATCTAAACATGTGAAGAGATATTTTACCAAAAGGGGCCTTAAAGAAAAACGAAAGGTATCTAAGGTTGACTTTGCCTGAAGGAGTTGGAACCTTAGTGTTTTAAACAATTTATTTATTAAGTTATCAACAGAGAATTTAATTTAAAAAGTATTTTAATAAATTGATAAATACTTACTTTTTCTATTGGAATTTCCAGTACAACTGAAATTAATAGAACTTATAGTTTCAATATGGTTCTTCTATTCATTATATAAACGATACATAAAACAGTTCACAGATTTAAATCAAATATTATTTGGACTATTAATTACATAATTAATGAGTTGATTATTAATGTTGGCAATTATACTTATTTGTAGAAATTGTCCTGCTGATTATTTTTGTTAACTACATTTTCTCTCTACTTACTCAAGTTTTCACACACAAAAAACACAACTAGTGATATAATTGTCATTCAAGGTCAATAACTCTTATAAAGAGTCATTGACTGACGATTTCGACCATGTTGACTTATTTGTTTATCTTGTGCTGCCGATCGTTTTTGCTTATGCAGTTTATTTCTATATAATATATTTCTGCACACACACACACACACACACACACACACACAAATATGGAAAAACATCTTAATTCAATGGCAATCACTACAATTGGTATTCGATTAACGACTTCAACAATGTCATCTTTTTGTAGATCATTTAAACTTTTATCTGTTTCTCTCTACTACAACTTATACAAAAAAAACCACGCACACGCAAAAGGTAAAAATCGTTTTAAAGGGTAAAATCAAATAGAAGTCAACTAACGATTTCAACAAACTCGACTTCATTTGGACTTCATTGGATAGTTGAGATTGTCTAATTGGCAATTGCCACATCACCTTATTTTGTATTCTTTGTAGATCTTGATCTGCTGGTCATGTTGTTATTTCTCGTTTGATATCATAGTTTTCAAGATAATATCCAAAATGGTAATAATCGTAAAAATCGACATTAAAGGCAATCCTTAAAGGGTTGGCTGACAGGTTGGTCGTATTAAACGGTACGTGAATATGACAAAATTAATATTTTTGCCCTGTATATTTATAATGTTTCACAAAATAATAGACAGTTCTTGCATTTTACCCCTATATTATATTTTCCGCCTTGACGGCCATATTGGTTACCAAGAGGAATTACAACACATATATTTTTAAACTAGATACCCAAAGGATGATTGTGGCTAAGTTTGATTATTTTAATATTGGTTTCAATTGGTCTAGTAGTTTCATAAGACAAAATGTTTGTAAAAGTTAACGTACAACGGATGCCAATACCGTTCAACTATTCAAAGACATTAGCATGTCTGGTTTCACATATATGCTTTTATTCTCGCATCAAAAGGAATGTGCAAAAAGATGCAATAAATCTAATTTCACAATAAAAAAAACTTTTATATAAATGGGTAAAATTATGTCCGACAGTTCAATCAAAGCAAGTTTGTGACAGAGATGATATTTCTGTACCATCAAGTGAAAAGACTATTTCATCTTATCAATCTCTCAAATAAATTAACACAATATTAAAAGAATTAAAATATTTTACAACTTTACCAATTTCAAGGACCAGATAATGCTTTTATAAGAAGTGTTGCTTCCACCAGACTCAAAATTGCGACCAATTTAGATGCTTTTAATTATATCATATTTGACCAATTATGGCAAATATGACATATCTACAAATATTCAGACACCTTAATCTACAAGTTAATTATAACCTTTCTAAATAGGTATGAGTTCTTAGCAGTATCATAAATAAACGTCAGCTTGTGTTGTTGTGTCAGCGTGAGATTATTTTCGGGTTTCAGCTTTATTAGTAAAATGACGCAAAGTACGACCTAAGAGGGAACAGGCTCGTGAAGAAAAACTAGCGCCATTCGTTATGAGGCGTATGGATGAGAAACTGTGAAAGGAAAATATAGCATAAGATAGTTTGGAACGAAAAAAAATATTCATTTGAAAACAAAATGCTTCTATTCGGATATCCTTGATTAGACTGACACGATACTGTTAATTTTGAAATATGTTTACTCTCTCTAATGAATTAAATTGTTTCATGTTGAAGTCCATTGATATCAGGCCGTCCGGGATGGATGTCGGGGAAATTTTGACTGTCACTGAAAAATGATCTAACCTTTAATGTCAGTGTGTATATGCCTGATAAATACTCCAGCTGGGCGAAGATGCTTCTTGTTTAGTATTTTGTTTTTCGACAGTGTTGAACCAACTTTCTACTTAGTAGTTAGAGTTTCTTGTTATCATCCGACTGGCACTTTCTATAACTAACAAAAGCCCACTCCACAAAGGAAACAAGTTCAAATAGGAATCAAGCAGGTCCAGTACTTCGCGACAATAATACTCATTTGGTCTATTGGAATCTGTGTTTGCGACTTTTGTTCTCACCCTAATGTTCTCATCCTAACGTTATCAAAATGTCTATGAAAAGGTGACGATGTCTTTATAGTTCGCTGTACTGACATTATCTCAGGTTCCTCTTCATCCTTAAGGCTTGTCTTTACATCATCTATTTCTTTGGGAATAAAAAGATTTCTTATTTTTTTATTAAAGTTGTCCAATAAAGGCAACAGTAGTATACCGCTCTTCAAAAGTCATAAATCGATTTTCATCTTTGCTTTCATTTTCACTTTGACCTATCAAACACATTTCCTTATAAAAGTGTAGAAGCTGTCTCTAAAGTTTTGGCATTTTGGAACAGTCCGAATATGTATTTGTAGAATTATTCTAACCCTCTATCTGCTGTCATTTTTCCGACTTTGTCTCTGATTCTTTTTTAGTAGACGAGAAGAGCAGATATGTAAGGTACTGAAACTTTCCTTTGGGCTTTTGTTGTTTGTAAGAATTCAAGCTCTATTTAAGTAGGAAGAAACATTTTCTTAATTGAAGATTAGTGAGGTAGCATTTATCAGCGGCCAAGAAAAATCAACCTCTACTCGCATGGGTTGGCATGGTCTCCATCGATGAAACAACCTAATGGACTTTTAGGATTTAAAAAGACCAAGTATTATTGCAGTTGATGACTGATCATTACTTAACATTTCCTAAGTTGGAATTGATGGATCTTTGAGATTTGTGCCTTTAACAACAGCTGCATAATAAAATACTGGATTCTCCTTGTTATTGGAACTTCTTTCTACTGCCACTGTGGCATCTAAGTACAGAACGGCCTCACCAAATTTCAATTTTCTCAAAACATTTTCAATTGATCTTCTTTGAAGCATACAGCAACAAATGAAGCATAGGACTGGAGTTGATTGTATCCTGGAATGTTAGGAGATTCATCGTTGTCTTTGATTACTTCTTGTGTTAATACAAGATCTCTCCAATCATCATCATTCAATTGTTTAGCTAAATTGCTTTTCATATACTGGGTTACGAAGAACTGCATTAGAGAATGCCTGCTTCCAGCAGCATATGACGCTTTCACTCATTTCTTCCTAGATTTTCATTTAACCACTTTTGCTAGTTTCTGCTCTCTTCTCCTCTCTTCTAGCTCCAGATAGATGTCGTTTACGGAGGTTTAGTTAGCTATATAAATATGTGTAACCCAACATTTCCCAAGTTAGGAATATGACAGTTGTGTTCCGTTCGTTCCGTTGGCTAATATAGTCGAGCGTTTTACGGACTTCCCCCTTTTTTTAATTTACCTTGGAGTTAGATATTTTTGTCAATACTTTTTTACTAAATTGTATGCGTCCGGAGCGTTTTCTGGATTTTTCTTCATATTGTATGTAATTGCGATGTCATTTCTCAACACAGTAGACAGTAACAAATCGAGAATACTGACAAAGCCAGTGTTTGTGCCAAATGGAAAAAAGTAGACACACATGTCAGCTATGGAAGAACAAACATTGTTCTTGTAATTTAAGATTACACTGGGATTTACATCTAATTCGCTTTGGTGATCGCAATATTTTTGAAATGACGATTTTAGTCTTTCTTCCTCATAAAACTGCAAGAGTTCACCTTTATAACCATCACGAACACATATGGTAAAATATTTTATCAACTGAAATTGGTGACGATTGACGACCATTATAATGATAATCGTTTATCAAATTTAACACCACGGATAATATTTGTAAGTCAACAGAAAAAGAATAGATCTGATACTCTTAATACTAACTACGCCAACAATTAAAATTTTAACTTTAAACGTACCAATATTCGTAGAATTTATCCAGTACTTTGTATTGACTTCCATTTCTTTGATTGCACGACTAAGTGTCAACATATTGATTACGTCAACGGGAATACCTGTTCTGCATGTTCCTTCAAAGGTATTGTTAGATCCAATTTGAAAATGTGTTTGAATTCCGGTGGCTGAGTAATCTGTTAAAAAAAACATACGTCCATGAATAAATCTGTGCATTCTCAATTCTGATGTGTATTTCTGTTAGCATAGTTGTATGTTTGCTATGAGCATGTGACAATGAATACAATTAGTGTGTATTTAAGGTTCTTTCTCGTAGATGTGTGAAATTGTAATGGACGTCAAGTAATGTTCGCAGAATAATAAAAAAATTGAATGTAATAATATTTTCGCACAGGTTTTTAAATAATTATTGTTATTTTCCATATTCACTCGATTTGCCCGGTCTCCATGCTTTATGTTTTGTACAGATAGACAAACGGTCATCGGTATACAGTACGTCCGCCTTTTGCGGGAGTATAAAAAGAGAATATATGTCTAGGCTGTGGACAACCTTGCCATGAAGTCATATATCGGGAATTTTTATTGATGATTATAATGAGTACCTTATGTTTGTGTCTTCTTTTGAAAACTTCTCAGAGATACCGGGCTTAATATTTGAAAGGCCAGACGCGTGTTTCGTCTACATAAGAGTCATCAGTGGCGCTTGAATTAAAACAGTATGAAGGCCAAATCAAATACGAAGTTGAATAACATTGAAAACAAAAATTCCGAACAGTTGTACCAAATACGTCTATGCATAGGGGTAAACCTGATTGTTTCAAATAATTCATCATTTTATAACCAGTCAATTTACAGACAATTATCGTATAAATGATGTTTCATGTCAACACAGAAGTTCTAACTACTAGGATGGTGATATTCTCGGGAACGAAATGTTCGACAGCAGTGGCATCGACCCAAGCGTTGTAAAAATTCATCAAATAACTCAAGAAAGATATTCCAGATCATCAGGCAAAATTTAATCATTTGTGCATTGCAAATGTGAAGGCAGCGTACGTAGCAAAAAATTGAGAATTGCATAAAAACTAATTTGAAGTGTAAGAATTAAGAAGAAAATAAAATCTTCAAGTTTGTAGACTTGCAAAAGTCACCTAAAACATATTTTGGGTTACACACTTTATTTTTATTCTACATCAACTGCATGTCCCATTTGACAATATACCAACCATTCTGACACAATCCTTCATAATGTTCGCTCTTCGGAATTTGTTCAATGTATAAACTTTCACAAGAACCTGAAATAGAGAATTTAAATGCCATTAGCAATTAAAACAGAAATTGTTCATATATTTTATATTAACAAATAACTTATAAGAAGAAAAGATTTTTGCAATGATTACAACAACAAAAAAAGAGAATGGAAACTTAAAGCATGGTCTTTATTGCACGTAATATTTTGTAGTTACAATGTTACGTTTTCGCCAAAGGTAAATATTTATCAGTTTATGAGAAATGCCAAACGCAATATGTATCTTCACAACCTTAATCTTAATGTGCTTACCTGTACTACTATTGCATCCTAAATTAAGACCATAATTTGATGTCCATACAGATCGACTAGACCTGAAGTGACTTTCCAAATTTCGTTGGACTGACTTCAAAGGGGACAAAATTTTGTTCTTTGTCTTGCATTCGCTTCTTGCTTCCTTCCATGATAAAGGTTTCTCAAAACCACCTAAATGATAAATTATAATTAATAACAATTACAGTTAGGATCAATTTTGTTAATTCTACAAGTTTTGAGTTATTCTTAAACCAAACTATTTTTTATTTGTATGGTATTTCATATCGAATACTGGTAAACTATTTAGATAACCCTATGAGCATATAATTGTCGACGCGGGACATTTGTGTTTTTTTAGATATACAACATAATATTTTAGTGTTGGTGCCTTATGATTTGTCCTCCTCACTTACCCGGGCTGGAATAAATTTATATAACCATTTTCCTACTTCATAATTTTCCTAAGAGAGCATAATGACTGAATCTTTCGCCAACATGCTTGTGTCAGATGAAAGGACAACGCTTCATCGAACAAAAATAAATTCCTAATAACAACCATGACTCTTTCTTCAAAGTCAACATGAACTGTAAACGAAAAAAAAAAAAAACACTTTATGAATTTCGTGTGTCTGAGGCGATTTTCTGGATTAGCTATTATTCGTGTGTTTCTTTGTTCTATATGTTCTCCCATTTATTTGTATTGTAATCCTGTCATGTAATGTTGTCATTTTAATGTTATATTTATCATTGCCATAAAAGCGGGAGGTTTGGCATGCCACAAAACCAGGTTCAACCCACCATTTTTTTCTTAAAATGTCCTGTACCAAGTCAGGAAAATGGCCATTGTTATATTATAGTTCGTTTCTGTGTGTGTTACATTTTAATGTTGTGTTTTTGTTGTGTCGTTGTTCTCCTCTTATATTTGATGCGTTTCCCTCAGTTTTAGTTTGTAACCCGGATTTGTTTTTATCTCTATCGATTTATGAGTTTCGAACAGCGGTATACTACTGTTGCCTTTATTTAACCTTCATCGGGAATGCCCAAACCCAAACATTTGAAAGTCAGGGATGTACACATATGTGGAAATAGCCGTTGGTTTTAAAATTTTATCTCCACAAATTGAAGTATGATAAGATTCACAATGATGTTAGATTTCCTCGTTTCCAGGCAAGAGAATTAAGACAAGTATACGTTATCAGTAACATGTCATCAAACTAATAAATACAAACATATAAACAAAAAATCATTACGAAAATAAAAATGATTCAAATAAAAGTAAACAAAACTATTAATTCAATATTGATAGAACTTTGGTAGGTGTTTCTATATGAATTGGATTTTGAATAAAACAGCATATTCACCTGCGGAAAAAGTATATTCACCGCGCAAAACGTTGCGTGCTTTTACGTGTATAATTATAGTAAAATTGTTTGATGTACAATTGGTTTTGGTAAATAATTGTCTCTACATACATGTTCTCTTTTGGAATACGGAATAAAATCATTACAGTTTTTTGTTTCAATAAATACATGGTTTAATTGACTTTAAACTGAACCAGTTTGTCAAAAGTCAATAAAACCACATATTTACCTCATCAAAAGACAGTAATTGTATAATATTCATAAAAAGTAAACGATATCGTAGTGGATTTTGTTGGAATGATAGAGATGAAATTTGAATAATGGAATACATAATTATAGATAGATGTGCAATTAAACAAATGATTTTGGAAATTTAAAATTCACGCTTTAATTTTGCATGTGTGAAAAATAATTGGTGCCTGAAAATCAATGACCGGAGGAAAAATATCTACCATCGATTGTCTCAATTTTCAAAATTTATCATACCTGTTTTGAATTGTTTTTTTTTTTTTGTTATCAAAATTAATTCTTAACAAACAAATTCTCCAAATATATCACGCGAGATGCATGCAATAACATTAAAGGTATCTGTTTTACTGCACCAGATGAAGCTTCACACAGACTAGCTAAAAATAGCATTCTTGTTATCTTATATACTATGCATCCTAAAATTGATATACAGGTTTATTGAACTAGAAATTTTGGCTCAAATTGATAAAAATATATATTTTATAAAGGAAACGAAATCATTAATGTAATGTATTCGATAGTCTTAGTCTCCGTAAACACTCCGTGTGCCAGATAAGGAGTCAGATATTCTTACCCTCCCGTGGCACCTAAAATAGAACCCACTTCTGTCAGACACTGTGAATCTAAGGTGTTGTGTTATGTTTATAACTAGGTATACCTGAAGCATATTTCGTCTTTTTAAGACTCAGCAGTAGCACTCAAATCAAGATAGCAAGAAGGCTATTAAGTAAATAACAAAGTCAAATGTATTTAAGAAATGAATAGTAAGCACTTACCTGCGATTGCTTGGAAATAGTAAAGAATTATTAGAATAAACATAAACCTAACCGAGGACATTTTTTTTTTTAATTTTTATTGATATTTAGTATTTCCAATAAACAGGACGGATACAAATTATAAAATTTATTTAATACAATAATACAATGCAATTGAGTATATCACTTCCTGGGGGAAACAATGATTCAATAAAAAAGAGAATTCCAAAAAAATAAATAGGAAAATAACACTTGATCAATTTATTGCGTCCTAATCGCTTTTCTGGATTTGCCATCATCAGGAATGGTCATACCCCAAATATTGAAAAACAATGAGGTACAAGTATCTAAACATGTGAAGAGATATTTTACCAAAAGGGGCCTTAAAGAAAAACGAAAGGTATCTAAGGTTGACTTTGCCTGAAGGAGTTGGAACCTTAGTGTTTTAAACAATTTATTTATTAAGTTATCAACAGAGAATTTAATTTAAAAAGTATTTTAATAAATTGATAAATACTTACTTTTTCTATTGGAATTTCCAGTACAACTGAAATTAATAGAACTTATAGTTTCAATATGGTTCTTCTATTCATTATATAAACGATACATAAAACAGTTCACAGATTTAAATCAAATATTATTTGGACTATTAATTACATAATTAATGAGTTGATTATTAATGTTGGCAATTATACTTATTTGTAGAAATTGTCCTGCTGATTATTTTTGTTAACTACATTTTCTCTCTACTTACTCAAGTTTTCACACACAAAAAACACAACTAGTGATATAATTGTCATTCAAGGTCAATAACTCTTATAAAGAGTCATTGACTGACGATTTCGACCATGTTGACTTATTTGTTTATCTTGTGCTGCCGATCGTTTTTGCTTATGCAGTTTATTTCTATATAATATATGTTCTGCACACACACACACACACACACACACAAATATGGAAAAACATCTTAATTCAATGGCAATCACTACAATTGGTATTCGATTAACGACTTCAACAATGTCATCTTTTTGTAGATCATTTAAACTTTTATCTGTTTCTCTCTACTACAACTTATACAAAAAAACCCACGCACACGCAAAAGGTAAAAATCGTTTTAAAGGGTAAAATCAAATAGAAGTCAACTAACGATTTCAACAAACTCGACTTCATTTGGACTTCATTGGATAGTTGAGATTGTCTAATTGGCAATTGCCACATCACCTTATTTTGTATTCTTTGTAGATCTTGATCTGCTGGTCATGTTGTTATTTCTCGTTTGATATCATAGTTTTCAAGATAATATCCAAAATGGTAATAATCGTAAAAATCGACATTAAAGGCAATCCTTAAAGGGTTGGCTGACAGGTTGGTCGTATTAAACGGTACGTGAATATGACAAAATTAATATTTTTGCCCTGTATATTTATAATGTTTCACAAAATAATAGACAGTTCTTGCATTTTACCCCTATATTATATTTTCCGCCTTGACGGCCATATTGGTTACCAAGAGGAATTACAACACATATATTTTTAAACTAGATACCCAAAGGATGATTGTGGCTAAGTTTGATTATTTTAATATTGGTTTCAATTGGTCTAGTAGTTTCATAAGACAAAATGTTTGTAAAAGTTAACGTACAACGGATGCCAATACCGTTCAACTATTCAAAGACATTAGCATGTCTGGTTTCACATATATGCTTTTATTCTCGCATCAAAAGGAATGTGCAAAAAGATGCAATAAATCTAATTTCACAATAAAAAAAACTTTTATATAAATGGGTAAAATTATGTCCGACAGTTCAATCAAAGCAAGTTTGTGACAGAGATGATATTTCTGTACCATCAAGTGAAAAGACTATTTCATCTTATCAATCTCTCAAATAAATTAACACAATATTAAAAGAATTAAAATATTTTACAACTTTACCAATTTCAAGGACCAGATAATGCTTTTATAAGAAGTGTTGCTTCCACCAGACTCAAAATTGCGACCAATTTAGATGCTTTTAATTATATCATATTTGACCAATTATGGCAAATATGACATATCTACAAATATTCAGACACCTTAATCTACAAGTTAATTATAACCTTTCTAAATAGGTATGAGTTCTTAGCAGTATCATAAATAAACGTCAGCTTGTGTTGTTGTGTCAGCGTGAGATTATTTTCGGGTTTCAGCTTTATTAGTAAAATGACGCAAAGTACGACCTAAGAGGGAACAGGCTCGTGAAGAAAAACTAGCGCCATTCGTTATGAGGCGTATGGATGAGAAACTGTGAAAGGAAAATATAGCATAAGATAGTTTGGAACGAAAAAAAATATTCATTTGAAAACAAAATGCTTCTATTCGGATATCCTTGATTAGACTGACACGATACTGTTAATTTTGAAATATGTTTACTCTCTCTAATGAATTAAATTGTTTCATGTTGAAGTCCATTGATATCAGGCCGTCCGGGATGGATGTCGGGGAAATTTTGACTGTCACTGAAAAATGATCTAACCGTTAATGTCAGTGTGTATATGCCTGATAAATACTCCAGCTGGGCGAAGATGCTTCTTGTTTAGTATTTTGTTTTTCGACAGTGTTGAACCAACTTTCTACTTAGTAGTTAGAGTTTCTTGTTATCATCCGACTGGCACTTTCTATAACTAACAAAAGCCCACTCCACAAAGGAAACAAGTTCAAATAGGAATCAAGCAGGTCCAGTACTTCGCGACAATAATACTCATTTGGTCTATTGGAATCTGTGTTTGCGACTTTTGTTCTCACCCTAATGTTCTCATCCTAACGTTATCAAAATGTCTATGAAAAGGTGACGATGTCTTTATAGTTCGCTGTACTGACATTATCTCAGGTTCCTCTTCATCCTTAAGGCTTGTCTTTACATCATCTATTTCTTTGGGAATAAAAAGATTTCTAATTTTTTTATTAAAGTTGTCCAATAAAGGCAACAGTAGTATACCGCTCTTCAAAAGTCATAAATCGATTTTCATCTTTGCTTTCATTTTCACTTTGACCTATCAAACACATTTCCTTATAAAAGTGTAGAAGCTGTCTCTAAAGTTTTGGCATTTTGGAACAGTCCGAATATGTATTTGTAGAATTATTCTAACCCTCTATCTGCTGTCATTTTTCCGACTTTGTCTCTGATTCTTTTTTAGTAGACGAGAAGAGCAGATATGTAAGGTACTGAAACTTTCCTTTGGGCTTTTGTTGTTTGTAAGAATTCAAGCTCTATTTAAGTAGGAAGAAACATTTTCTTAATTGAAGATTAGTGAGGTAGCATTTATCAGCGGCCAAGAAAAATCAACCTCTACTCGCATGGGTTGGCATGGTCTCCATCGATGAAACAACCTAATGGACTTTTAGGATTTAAAAAGACCAAGTATTATTGCAGTTGATGACTGATCATTACTTAACATTTCCTAAGTTGGAATTGATGGATCTTTGAGATTTGTGCCTTTAACAACAGCTGCATAATAAAATACTGGATTCTCCTTGTTATTGGAACTTCTTTCTACTGCCACTGTGGCATCTAAGTACAGAACGGCCTCACCAAATTTCAATTTTCTCAAAACATTTTCAATTGATCTTCTTTGAAGCATACAGCAACAAATGAAGCATAGGACTGGAGTTGATTGTATCCTGGAATGTTAGGAGATTCATCGTTGTCTTTGATTACTTCTTGTGTTAATACAAGATCTCTCCAATCATCATCATTCAATTGTTTAGCTAAATTGCTTTTCATATACTGGGTTACGAAGAACTGCATTAGAGAATGCCTGCTTCCAGCAGCATATGACGCTTTCACTCATTTCTTCCTAGATTTTCATTTAACCACTTTTGCTAGTTTCTGCTCTCTTCTCCTCTCTTCTAGCTCCAGATAGATGTCGTTTACGGAGCTCATTTCTTGGATGGCAAATATTGCCTATTATATCTACATTTACAGCCACAGTTTGGTGTGTGTTCAATGGTTCTTTCTGTTTGGTTAACACAAGTGACAGGCAGTTGTCAAAGGTGCACTATGTTTTACCAAATAACAAAATTGCATTATTTTTACTTGTATTTCTTAACTATCTATTGTAGGTAAAGCAAAATACGCAAGATGGAATAAATCTCTTAATTCTTTCAGAGAAAAATGTTGTCAAGTTTTTTGGCAAGATGTCTTCCTATAGGGTAATATCACCTCACCGAACCCAAAACTAACACCAGAGACAAGAAAAGTAAAGACAAGGTATTAAAATGGTGCAACGTATAAAAAGCGAAAAGGTAACAAATAAGTAGAGAATAAGTATCAGGGTATCAGTCGAGCGCGGAAACGGGTACATACGCGCTAACATGGTAATTTGACTTCCACGAACCAATAAACACCAGAGACAAGAAAATAAAAGAATAGACATCATTAAAAAGGAGCAACGTATAAAAAACAAACAAGGAACGAATAAATAATAGGGTATCAGTCTAGCAAGGAGACGAGTAGATACACGCTTAGTCCTATAATATAAGACTTCGGAGTTTCATATCATTTACATTCAACGTTTTTTATCGGATTTTTTTTTTTTACTATCAATGTTGAAACCCGAAGTCTTATCGATAGATGCTATTTTCTCGTAGCAAATTTTAAAATTAATCACCCACTCCAAAAACTAATAAAACTAATAGGAACAACATTAAAATATATGAAAAGTATCTCTTACCGTCTTTAAATTGCAAAATTATGTTCCTAACTCATCCTTTTTTTTTTCGAAGCTGACAAACATTTTTGATCTCGCCATTTTATTTCAAAACATGTGCCGATTCTATATTTTTAAGAATGCGTGAAGAAAACGAATTTGACGGTAATATTAAAAGAAGGCTTTGTGCAAGCAAGGATGATTTGTTGTTGGTAGCTTAGCTTAGCGCAAGTGGCAAATAGTTCATGCATGTTGAGAACGAGAAAAGATAACCAATACATACAATTGGTATGTTCTGTAATAATGGTCAACTGGGATGCATGTCCGAAAAATTTCATATTAGGCACAAAATGTTGCCATATCTAGGAAATTTGGACTGACACTGGAAAATGAGAGTACATTGAATAGGGACCGAAATTTTGCCTTGCAATAGGCCACATGCGGACCCCTCAAT